TCAAACCAAAGCCATTGAGAGGAAGAGCTAATTAGAAATCCCCTGCTATCCCCACTACCAATATAATTGCTTTGATCATTCTGAAATGGAAAAAAAAGAAACAAGATCTATAATATTGCAGGACTGAACTGTTCACAGGTCTACCATGCCTTCCTCCAGAACAATGCAATCTATTCTCTAGAGTCCTCTTAGCTATCTAGCAATTTATCCATTTGGACTATGTAATCATGATCAGCAGAAATATAAATGCTTGGGAGGAAGGACTAGCATATATAATACATGTCAATGATATATAAATATCTCAGTCTTCTCATTTCCTTTGCAAAGAGCAAAGCCATGATAGAAATTCCACAGTATCACACAGTACTTCTTCACTAATACATACAACTTGGCAACTGAATGTCAACAGTTTTCCTCTTCTAAAAAAAACAAAGTGAATAACCAAGAGTGCTGTCAATGTTTAGTTTTGTTGTTTGCTTATAGTCACTTGAAAATATATATGAACGTGATATCAAATATTTGAATTTATGTCATTTTATTTGTTTTTGCACATAGTAAAAGTAATTTGTATGTTTGTATAGTAATCTAGTGAACTATTACTGATTATATATGCATGTATCATTAAATCCTGTGAAGAAATTATACCCTGTTATGATAATTATAGCACACATACATTTTTAAATAAGTATCTGGCCACACTCAAAACATTCAATTTCACTTTTAATTTAAGACTTCTAAGGACATATTTGCACCTTCATTATCAGTTAATTACAACTTAATTGGCATCATATAAGACAGGAATGCCAATACCCACAAGACTAGTTCTGATATCACCCAGGGCATAATTGCATGGTTACAAACAACTACGGTAGCTACTAAAGAATATTAAATTGTGTCAGCTGAACCCAAACTATAATGAAAGTGTATGATTACTGCAATGTCTTTTGTCTGATACCAAATAGCTAGAACTGAAGGCAAAGGCCCAATATTAGTCACCACAACATAATCTTTCTTAAATATCCCTCCAATCCTCAATTTACTCATCAATGGTCTTCAAGAGCCACTAGGGTTATAGCTATTACCAATATTAACAGATACCCATTCAGAAGCAATGCTGAATAGCCTACTTGCATGAATGTCAGCATGTAAGGTTCAAGTACTGCTCCTCTCTAAAGATGTTCAGTGACGACTTATTCCAGATGAGCAGTAAGATCTGGCAGTCACATTATCTATGATACATCTAGAATAGATCTAGGGCAAGTTCAGCCAGGGATACTCAAACTGGGATCATCCACACAGTGGTGGATTAAGGCTCACTGGTGCCCTAAGCACTGACAAATCTTGGTGCCCCCCTTCCTTTATACAAACTATACAAACGAAGCCATATTAAAATAGAATAGAATTCTTTATTGGCCAAGTGTGGTTGGACACACAAGGAATTTGTCTTGGTGCAAATATTCTCAGTATACATAAAAGAAAAGATACATTCATCAAGAATCATAAGGTACAACAATTAATGATAGTCATAGGGTACAATATTGTCAACTTTGTGGTGCCTCCTTTGGTCCTGGTGCCCTAAGCACCTGCTTAGTCTACTTAATAGTTAATACACCTCTGCGTCCACATAGTGGGCATTACAAATTCCCACATTTCTGATGACTGTCCAGCATTTATGGAAGTTCTCATCCAAAACACCTGGAAGATATCAATTGCCAACCTCTGCATTTAGCCTTTTATATCCTGGTAGCAATATAATTTAATATCAACTGTAAAATAAATGTTATCTTGCCAATTTGATATTTGGGTTAAAACATGGAGGTGAGGGTGCATAGAGGAATCTTTTTTTGCCATTAAAGACAATAACTCACAAATTGTCCAGCTAGTTCATACTAATTTGTCTCAAGATCAGCAACACAATAAAGAATCATAGACAACTTAATCCCTTTCTTCATCAAGATAAAAATCCTTCCGTCGTTTATTTGGCAAATTAGGTGTGGGACAAAGAACAGTAGGCAACATAAATATTATACTGTGCTGTATGTCAAATTCTCTTCAGAGAAAAAATAAGGATTAAACAGAAACTAAAGGTAGTTTAAAAATGCACTTAAGAGAAAGGGACTGGCTCCGTTGGCTGTGGAGGAAACTGGGGAAGGGCAAAGTTAGGCTGGGCAGAGCAGGGGAGAGGTAGAACAGGGGAGAAGGGGTTCAGAGGAAGAACGGAGAAGAGAGCAACGTGGGTTGCCTGGCTTACGAGGGAGGAAAGGACCCTGATTCCCTTCACAAGGCACACCTGGGGATGAAGTTTAAAGGAGAGGCATATGGGAGGGAACAAATGTTGAGTTTATCCTGTGTTGGCTGCGGTTATCTGAGTTCCTGGCATCCTTCCAACTGGTTTGATTTACTGCCTTGTTACTTCATTTCTGGAACTCCATATCTTGGTCTGCCAGTTCGTGGGAGAGTTTTTCTCTAGACCAGAGGGTAACCAGGTCATTGTGGGCAAAGTTGGAGCTAATAAAGGAACTCATTCTTATTCTCTGGCTGTGTTGCCTTTGTGCCATGCCCCGGGTCATCACATTGTGGTTTCCCCCGAGGTAATTCTTTGATTGAGATATAATTTTCTGCCTGGTTGCTTGGTTGCTGGTCTGGTTTTAAACCCTGTTTATCTGGGTGTTGATTGCTGGAGAGAATGTATTCTGTTCTTTTTGTTTTCTTTTCAGTTTTTTATTGTCTTTTATGAACATTATGTAAATTTGGCTTATCTCTATGTGATGACTGATGGCTGATTTTGGAATTTGGAAATGCCAAATTTCCATGAATTCCTTTAGCTATTTAATTTGATTTACGATACTCATGGTTTTCCAGTTAAAAGAGTCTATCCATAGGTTTTGAAATTACAGAGTTATCATTCTGCCTTCTGAATGATTGATCCAGTATTCAAGTGATACCTTCATCATAATAAAAAAAGGAACAAGTACAGAAGACACAGGGACGTGGTGGCTCAGTGGCTAAGATGCTGAGCTTATTGATCAGAAGGTTGGCAGTTCAGCGATTTGAATCCTTAGTGCCACATAATGGAGTGAGCTCCTATTACTTGTCCCAGCTTCTGCCAACCTAATAGTTCTAAAGCAAGTAAAAAATACAAGTAGAAAAATAGGGACCACTTTGGTGGGAAGGTAACAGTGCTCTGTATGTCTTTGGCATTTAGTCATAACGGCCACATGACCACGGAAATATCTTCAGACAACGCTGACTCTTCGGCTTAGAAATGGAGATGAGCACCACCCCTGGGGCCAGAAATGACTAGCATGCATATGTGGGGGAACCTTTACCTTTATCTAGAGAAGACACATGAATGACTAACATTTTCAAAGGAATAAAATTCATAAGGGAAAACCACATACTATTTTTCCTGGATATCTTCATCAGCAGAGAAAATGATTGCAAATTAGGAATTAACACCAGCAGACAAAAATAATATAATAACATAGCAGATAAAAATAATATAATAGCATAGCAATAGCACTTAGACTTGTGTATCGCTTTATAGTGCTTTACAGCTCTCTCTAAGCAGTTTACAAAGTCAGCATATTGCCTCCAACAACAATCTGGCTCCTCATTTTACCGACTTTGGAAGAATGAAAGGCTGAGTCAACCTTAAGCCAATGAAAACTGAACTACCAAACTGCTGGCAGCAGTCAGTCAGCAGAAGTAGCCTGCAGTACTGCATTTTAAGTACTGCACCACCCCGGTTCATAACACCCTAATCAAAGAATTATCAAGAAAAAAACATTCCTAACAACACTGGCAGGGCAAGCTACTGTATGTAAACAGGGAGCAAACTCCACACTCATGTGCAAGATGATATTAGCTAGGTGGGTTATGAAATATCTGCAAGCAAATAACCAACTTCAAAGAACACCAAGGACTTTACTTCAACCCTGAGCTACGTATACTCTCTTCTATTGGAAGAAACTAAAAGTTAAAATTTGAAAGTTCCGATGTAATAAAATTGTTAATTGCCTGGCACTACACAACTGGGGAGTCCATAAAATACATTTAACTCTTAAATATATCAAGCAGAACAGTACTGCTCAGAATCAAATATTTAGAGTGCAGTACACTTAAGATAAAAGTGGCATTTATGGCCTGCACTATCTCCTTGAAACTCCCATATACTAGTGACAGACGTACATATCTCAAGGTGCCAAGAGCTCAGAGCCAAGAAAATGCTCAAAGAAAGGCCTTTTATAAAGACAAGCTTGGACCCGACTTTCTGATGAAGATATGCACCATTTCAAATTATAATTCTGAGTAACTTTCTAAAGGCATGTTGGAAAGTGTATTGCAAAAGAGATATTGAATACATCAAATGTGGAATTGATTGTTATAAACCTTCCTTTTTCTGCTATCTTCTCTTTTACTTTTTGTATTCTATATTTTAAAAAAATAATAGACAAACAAAATTTCCTGCTTTAGAAAAAAAAAATTCTGCTATAGAAATTTCTATAGAGGCTCCAGTTTGCAGCCCATTTCTTCAGGAAAGTAAACTTCTGGGAAGAAGGGTCAACATAAATATTCCAATTTAGACAGCTTTAATCACTTTTATTCACTATTTGTATATACAAACACATTTTAAAGATAAATATGTAGTTTCTGTTTCTTTTATTCCTGTTTTTGTTAAATGTATTTTTTCCCCTTTCTACATGTTCCCACTTTTGGTTTCCAAGGACATTTGGAATTTAGATTCAGTCTTCAGTTTAAAATTCCTGAATTTTCCACTTCTTATATAATGTAAAATTAATTCAAAAAATGACTTTGAAAAATTCAGTATTGAATTTGTGTATGTCTCTCTGTGGGTACAACTTATTTTATCGTAAAAAATTTTGTAGGGTAATCAAGAAATTTTCTAAAATCTAAAACTGCAACTCCTCCATATTTTTAGCAATGATAATGAAGTGGTATATCTGTGAATGGATGCAAATAAACCAACATAGACTTACTTGAGCCAGTGCAGCATCTCGCTCTTCTATCAATGCATTAATTTCTTCTGCTGTTATTTTCTTTTTCTGTTTCTGGGTCCTATATATGCGATCGACAATTATAGCTCCTGTCCTCCATATCGCCATACCGGTGTCTGCATTGTTTATTCTGTTCAGTAATTCCTGTAATGTCTACCAACAGCATTCTATGTTCGTCAAACAAGAAGTTTTAATATACTTTATTTAATATAGGGTTTTAATTAATAGGCACATGTGAATTGTAAATTGACTGAGAGAAGTTATTGAATTTTCATACTGGAGCAAAGATGTACATTATTAGTGTGTCAATTCTTCTTTTTCCCACATCTTAGTTTCTGAAACCCACTCAATTGAACTTAAGCCTCTAAGATATAAGACTGACATCAAGAAATCTCCTCAGAGAATGGCTTACCATGTCATTTTCTTCAGGGTTAATATTTTCTAGCCTAGAAAAAAGGACACAGAAAGCCTGATCAGTAGCATTTCCTTAGTGCAGCAAAATGAATTCGCTTTTTAAATCTTTAGAACCCTCAAGTAATTTCATTCTACTGGTCTTTAGAGTCAACCATGACACTGAACATATTAAAGTGCCACCTGCTCGATTCCATCTTTCAATAATGCTCCATATCTTCAGCACTGACTTCAGAATGTTAAGTTATTAATGTTTACTGCTATATATGACTACAAGGATCAATTGTTCATATGTGCTTAGATGAAGAAAGTTCCCCAGCGGCAGGAGCACCGAGGCACCTTTTATTTATTTAATTCTGCACCCACAGAAATACATAAATAAACCTCCAGCAGAAATTATATATTTTAATTTTATCACATCCCTCATGACAAAAAAACAAAGCAAAATAAAAATCTCTAGCTCTCCAATCCTAACACCTATGTCCGAGGCTTACTGTTTTTAATGAAATTTATCTGCAAAACGTTTGCATGGAATTGCTATCATAAGTCTGTGGAACAAAGTCTAATGATTTTTACTTCGTCACCGTAATTTAGGAATTAAACCTTCTCTAACACCCCAAACAATTATACTGAAACAATAGGATAAGAACAAAGATTTGAGCCCCATTTTTTCAGTTGACACATTTTACAGTTGTTACTAGCTCGGTCAAAATCTTTCTGCAGAACTGCACGTTATTAGCTCAAAACATTTATACTACCTCATTTCCAAACCAATTGTAACGAAGAAAGAGATGTAACATTATAAAAGGTTGTATGAAAAGCTTGTAAATATATTTTAACATTTCTGTAAAATTAAATTATACCAATCAGTAAAGCAAGTAATCAAGTTACGATATCATGCAAATCAGGGATTAGGGGGCATCTATGAAGCTGGAGTCTGCATGCGGTAGAAATACTGCATAGCATTCCTCAATTACCTATTAATATTGCAGCAAGGGATGGTGGAGTCATTCCATTTGTGCTTTTATGCAAGCTTATCTAATTTTGCATTTCAAATGAAAACTCAGTACACCTTAAAATCACAGATTTTTCAAACTTTGTCATGCCCTCATGCAAAAAAAATGAGTACAGAAATATATCTGTAACTATTGTGAACAAAATATAATAATATAAAGTACACATTAAAGAAAACTGAAAAATGTCTATATTTTGCAAAAATAGCATAAACCAAAAAAATAGAAAAAAAATAGAAAAATGCATTATTAACAGCTTAACGGATCATTTTGCAACATCTTTAAAAACTGTTTCCAGATGAAGTGAACTTAACAGAAAAAAAAATATTCTATTTCAAATTAACCAAATACTTTATTTTGTTTCACTTTATTTCTGATGGAAAAGTGGCTTCAAAAGATTTGATCGTCTTCCTATAAAGTAAGATGTCTAATTCACAATGTTGTAGTCCAAGCTCTGAACCCCTGTATGAAATGTGACATTTCCTTTAATTATCCATGCATAAATCAATACTGGTTTCCCTCTCTTACATACTCAGTCAATCATCACCTTGTCTATGTCAGGATCAAGACCGAGATCACACATGAATTAATCTAAACTGTAGCAAATAAAATCAGTGTACTGCTTAGGACCTTTTACTCATAAATGTAGCTTTTTCTAATCATTCTAATCATTCCAAGGAGGAGAACAAGAATTTAAGAGAATGTGCACACAAATTATGTTCACAAACTGGAACTTAGAAACATGTTGTATAATTGCTTAAAAAATCCACCAAGTACTTCCTACTTTTTCCCATATAGCAAACTAGCAGCTAGAAAATATATGTGTGTGTGCACGCATAGAGTTAGGCATATACAGCATACATACATGCATAATGGGCCATATGAAGAAAGTATGATAGGTACAGCCAAGCTTTCTCGCAAGACAGTGGACATTAAGCAGGCAGAATAAAGATGTGTACATACGTCTCGAGAGGTTGTTCCAGTAGCCTTACTTGTTTACACACATCACCTTTTTCCTCACTGGCCAACTTCAGTCTAGCCATGATGGCTTCATCATGGTCATGTTGTGTGGAATGAATTTCTTCTATTAGAACTGCAATATAGTAAATTAGATGTATTGTATGAGTATGATCCACAAAGGAAATTTATCTATTTTATAGTTGTTTTTAACTTTTCTAATTAATGGATATTTATTTATCCATGGGAACTAATTATAACATCTTCCATCTTAATCATTTCCAGATAGACACCCATATTAGTCAGGACCCAATTAAAATTTTCTAAATTAAATGAATGAATTGCTGAACCTAATGCAGATATGTTATTCAGATATATATTTTTGATGGTATTCCCCCCTCCCCTGGGTTTAAAATAAATAAGTAACAATGTTTTTAAAAAATGTCTGAAATGTCATGACAGCTTACATGCAAATCTCTAATTCTTGTGAGATTTTTGACACTCATAAAATTTTTGCATTTTTCTATGTTTACCTATGAAACTTTTGAGACAAAATTGCCTCAAAATTTTTAGTGAGAAGACAAGTAATATTGCAAAATTTTCACTGTTCCGTATAAAGTATAATGAGAAATGAAGAATGAAAGCGCAATAAATTCAATTAAAAAGTAAAAAAAAAACCCAATCAAAATATAGTAGGTTGTAGATAAAGACACTGTTGAGAAATTTGTTTCAGTTTTGGAGAAAATTGTATTATTAGACACACAAGCTGTGTTTTGAACAACTAACATTAGCTGAAGCTGCCTCTGCAAAAGGTATTTAAAAGGCCTTAAATAGTTAGCCTTTTGAACAATTTATATCCTGATTTTCTCATCTACAACTCATAGTGGCATACATGTTTTCCTCAAAACAAACTCCACAAAATGTTTAGGGCTGAAAAAGAGTGACAATCACAAGAACTAAAAGTTACTGGTTTCTCATGCAGTACATTAATTGCTGCACCAAACTGTCCATTTCAAACCGTTTTTAGGAAAATGTTAGTCATGTAAGTCAGTGGATACTACTCTATTTTAAATTGGACCAGTGAATAAACTACTGTGTGGAAGGAGGGGGAAGAATAATCATGCAGATAAAAGAAAAAAAGCTGGGTAATCCATTTGACTTTAGCGGAACAATGGGCAAAGATTTTCAGGTCTATTGCATCAAAGTCACCTTTGCTATTTCCTGGAACACCTAGGTTTATCTTGGCAAACTATTTCAGCCAAGCCAAGTTCGTTTAAGTATTTTTTTTAAATGACATTTTAGTTGAAATATGAAGCTTCTTGAAATAAATGTGCATATTCAATGTCATGTGGAGGGAATAAACTATCAGTCACATTGCCAAAGCAGAAGTCTATTATTTTAGATGAAAGTTGGCATAAAAGTAGACCCAACAAATCAATTGTGTATCGTATTTTAAGATGACTGGAAAAAAACGTATTTTTATTAGTAAAGTAAATTTAGCTTATCTTGCTGCAGTAGCATGCCATCAACATTTGAGTATCATACCAAGCCAAACATCTGCATTACAAAATGGCTTGCTTCCTGAAAGAATTGTATTAGATCCATCACGACTAACGCACTTGTACTTTTAAGATAGATAATAACTGTAAACAGTTAAGGTACATAGCTATTTCAAAGTTCACTTAGAAAATCAACATAGCATTTTAGTTGGAATTTGCTCATTAAATACCCATAACAGTAATGCAAATTATACGAGAATGAATAAGGCAAATACATATATTTCTTTGTTTTATTAAATGTAAAATCTGCTGTTAATCACATAGGCTGTGTTGTATAAACTTTTCTCTTTTAACTATTAAAAGAAGTCTTTACAAAAGTCATTAGAGATCCTCATTCTTTGACTTGTATAAATTTCAATATTTGTTCAGTAAAGGTTCACAGCAGTTAAATTACATTAACAAATATTATTAGCTACTATGTAAGCCAACTAAGTAAAATACTTATATTGCAGGTAAAACAAATCATTGGATGTTTACGATAATATTTGGACATGTCCACTTTTAAACAAGCTTATCAAATATTCTGTAATTCTAAGTCAAATTACAGAAACTTAGAGTAGATCTCCCCCCCTCCCCAATGCTCAAATTTGTTTAGTAAGCTAATTGTTTTCTAATATGGGATAAAGCAAATATGAAGAAGCTGAATCATTTCCAGTATAAGTTTACTGAGTCAAAGCAGTGTACATATTTTCTCAGCTAAACCCAGTTCTCTTGGCAAACCTTTTGGCCACACTTTCAGGCTACCTTTAAAATACAGTAGTAGCAAGAGAGGGTGTTAGAAATCATTCTAGTATAAACATTGGTTCATGATTCTCCAAACAACAGAAACTTGAAGGGGTGGTGGATGAGGCAAAGAGAAGAGGGCATCTATGTCTGTTTGCTGATTTCTCAGAGGTCATCTGTGTAAATATAGAAACTGAATAGTAAATGCTGGAAAAAAGGAATAGTTAGGAGTTTAGATAGTCTACTGCAAAACTCACATGATATGAAGGGAAAAAATATAACTGTAACCTTTTAGACAACAGATAAGATTTCTAAGTAAACCAGGATAATTAAGATATAGATCTACATTCTGAATTGTCCTATAACGTGCAATTCTAAATTTTGTTGTAGTTGTATACTTTGTCAAAATGCTGAAGCACTATTTTGCATTTTTTGGGAATAAAAAGACAGCATAACTGCATCTCCCTTCATGGAGTGTTTTAAAAATGCACATTGTAATGTACCAATATGTTCAGAAATTTTCCATTCTTCCCAATAATCATTCTTTATTTTGCATATTTCATGAGATTCTAGCTGCAATAGTTTCTTGTGGGTATTTTTGGTAGGTGAAAAATAAATGTACTGCCATAGCATGCAGATTGTCATAAGAGTTTTGTGATTTTGGAGTTAGTATTTAAGATTAGGGACTGTTGAACTCTGTGTGACCCAGGATTTCTCCTCACTGACTTTTAATGGCTTCACACAGATATCTTTCTTCCACAAGAGTCAATATGAAGGACTACGGAGCTACTTTTCATTTTCAGGCTATCCCTAGTAAAGATAAAACATTCCTAATCTGAAAAATATTTTCAAGGGCAACCTATACAGAGTTAATATGTAAACGAACTGAAACTGAACAAATAACATGTGCATTTTTTTTCTCCGTTTCAAATAAACAGGGAAGAATGCAATATAAAGTTTATTTGAAATTAAATTATATGAATCACAGATTCCTATAATTGAAAAAAATTGATGGGGAAATGGGTACAGGTTTAATCAAATGTCTCCAATTCAAAAGAATGCATGCGCCTCTATGAAAGGGTTGCTAGAATATACTGCAGTATTTATCTGCTTATCAATTTACATATGTCATCATTAGCAAAATGCTGACAAACCTGGAAAATCATCTAGGTTCCAGATTGGGATCTTATGAAATAACCAAACGTCAGTAGTTTCCAGACACTATTTGATAAAACACTATATTGACATAAATTAAATCACTAAAATATGGAAGTGTTACAGAAAAAAATAAATGAAACAGAACAGTTTTAAGAGGACAAAACCAGATATTACAAACAGCTAATCATTTACATTTTAAAGTGACTCAGCAGATAAAGCAATGTGCACTGACAATGATAGAAATACCAACACCTTTATTTCCTTGTACATATTTAGTCTGAGGCATTCAATTGATCCTACATTTCTGGTGCTATAAATGCATTAATTATACCCAAACTGTTTAGCAATACCTGTAAAAACAAGTGAAAAGACTTTGCACTCTGGTGTTTTCCTGTTTACTTAGATCCTTAAGAGGGAAAACGAAAGAGAAGGCATGAAAATAGGAATGTATACATTTCCCTCCACTGTATTTACATTTCTGAGTTCTTTACTAAAACCAGTTGCCCTGCAACACTAAACTTACTGCATCTTTTAAAATGCACATTTTAGTAGACATGACGTGAAAGCCTATGTGCTATCACTTATCAACAGTAGTTAAAAATAAAAGTCATCTATGTACACATCCATAAAAATATCCACAACTAAACTCAATATATTCTATGTGAATTGTATATAAATGGATAACTCTTAAAATGATTGTTTCTCAGAGGACACCTGGATCTGTTTTTCTTTTTTACTGATAGGAAAGGTTGACACACAACATTTACTACAGTACTAAAATACTAGTCTCAATTATTCCTACAGTTAAAAAAAACAATAACAATAACCAATATAGTACATTCAATGTCTATGGAGAGACAAGTCCCTGTTTGTGGAGGTGGGAGTGGAAGAAGAAACTATAGGGCTATATTAGCAATCACTCCTTACAATCAAACTGCACTATTCAATTGGTGTGAATGTCTGTTATTCCACAAAGACATTCACATTTTCAGGATAACCTTATTTTCAAGATAAGCTTTCAGTAGAAAGAACTTTTCTCGTCCCTTATACTAGTCTTTGAAAAGTGCATTTCTGTCCTATGTACTGGTGCATTAAGTTTTGCAACTTTAGAGAACAAATTTCTTCTCCCTAAAGTCCATTAGTTAAACTCCAACTGATTTTAGTGAAATGAAACAGGACCTATAGCTTATTAAAGGTCTTGGAACTTGTCAAGACACATATAATGAAAGGTTTAGGAAATGTATTTGCATAATACAACAATCCTACAACAAAACCAGGTCTGGGTGTATTCTGCATGTAGAAAAATAAATTTAGGATAGAATTATGTGGAAAAAAACTATATATTACATACTTCAAAAATAGAATGTCATCGATATTTAGATTTACAAATACCAAGGTTGGGAACTATTGTGATCTTTTGGCTAAAGCCCAATATTGGCCTTATTTCAGTTTAATTGGAAGAAGATCTTAAATTCATCTTCTCCATGAGGTATCAGGAACCTGGATTTCTCTTTGTAGCAAAGGTTAATAAGAAATGTGTCTGCAAAAGTCAAACAGCATTAAATATCAAAAACTGATTATTATTCTGCAGCAGTTGTTCTGTCATTCATAATCTCTCCATGCTTCACCCTTCCACAGCTAATCTTTAATGGATGACATGCAAGAAGGAAAAATAAATGGCATCTAAAAAGAAATACCAAAGTGAGCTAAAAATATAGTTTTCTCTTCAGTGAAAGCAAAAGGTAAAAAGAAATATCTGTGCTAAAAGAACTTTAGCACTATTTGTTTCTTGTTTCTGCCTGGACTGAGCACAAACTTATTATTTTCTGCAATAAAATTGTTTCAATTTGATTGAGAAATATTTTGAAAACCAAACCATTTGTCCTGTTTCATAGTTTTAATGCTTTAGCTGAAGGACTGAAAAGAAGACTGGCATTGTGATGCTATAAATTTTGAACAGGACAGTAAGGAAGCATATTGAAGAGCAGATGTGAATCTTCATCACTGCCAAAATAAACCTGAAAATTCTCTCTGTATTTAGACCAATACTACCTTACAGGAAGTATCTAAGACCCCAGATAGTGAGGCCACAGTGGCCCAGTTTTCTAAATAACAATGTAAGATATTTAGGCAAATGCATAGGTATGTTTATTTAAATAAATGAAACATAAGCACTGTACAGTTTTAAAATAATAAACCACTTCCATATTGCAGCCTTTGTACAGTTTTAAAAGTTTCTCAGAATTTCATCTCATGTAAAGTAGTGGTATTATTAATAAACACATATTTAGCCTAGAATCTATTTTTCTATATTTTGAATTTGAGATAGCTTTGTTCCAGTTCTAAGATGCATGCAGCAAATTCTTTCTTCAAGTATATAAGGCACATTTATATTTGGTTCAAAGTGTCTTCTATTTCTTATCATTTAAAATTATAGACTGATATTGTGTTGCATATGCTTATAATGCTAATGATAACAATGGAAGGGTCTTAGCGAGATAAGACATTATTCCCACATATAGTGGTGGTGGCGATGGGGCGGAGTTTTGAAAGATCGTTGTTTATTATTCTCCAAATAGTAATTTCTGTTTCAAACAGTAGCAATTGTCAGACCCTTAAATCAGCCAATATCTTTTCTTAGTACAGCATGGCGAAATGCCAAGGACTTTAATGAAACAACAAATATTAACTAACTGACTTGCAGTGTTTATCTGGAACACCCTGTCTTGTTATTGCAAGTGTGGAACAAGTTAAAAAAAAGTTTTAAGGTAGTTTATAAGATTTACTGAAATGATGTACAGTTATCTTCTTGAGGAAGCTTGTAAAAATTAACTCTTGGCAAATCCTGGCCATTCGGAGCCCATGGGGCTTTCCAGATGTACACAGTTTATGTCTACTTTTCCTATGTTACATCCAGCAAGAGCTGTCCAAAGGCCATAGAAGAAAATGGGATAACCTCTGTGTCATTGGGCCCTGCACAACTCTGATTTTTCTAGATCCGGAGCTTGGGTGGAATTGGTGTCAAATTTTTGAGCCTTTTTAAAAAAACACAGGCAGAAAGAAAGTCTTACTGTCTGGCCAATGCAAATGTCTACAGCGTGCACATTGCTGAAAGAATGAAAGCCTGCATGTTACCCCCACTGCTAGCAAAGAGCAGAGATGTCAGAAGCAGGTGAGTGAGGAACAATGGAAGTGGAGCTAATGGAAAGCAAGCAGGAACAGAGTGATGGAGCTGCTGAGAGACAAGTGGCTAGAGAAACAGGGAGAACAGAGAACAATGGCATCGAGAAAAAAGAAGCTCCTAGGCCGACTAGGAGAGAAGAGCAGCCAGGTTTCATGGGGCCAGTACCAGCATAAAAACAAAGGCCACACGAGAGAGCTCAAAATGAGAAACTATGCAAAAGAAGGGAGGCAACATTATCTCCAAATACTGTCCTTCAGATAAGACTCTCCTAGCTCACTTTTGTTCCAGGGATAATTCTGAGCATGCTAGGCTCTCTCTGAGTTGGAGCGACCTTTCTAGCTGGGTGTCTGCAGGTGATGTTTGGCTACAACCATGATTATTACCGACCATTCCTGAGGTGGCCTTACAAATACAAGGGACCATAAAAAAAAAATGGGAGGCATCAATAATGCAATCAAATTAAAAGATAAATCTTGGGTGAGGTCTGCAAACCACCACACTGCAATAGCAAGCCTGCATTTTTACCCATGGTTATTCCCCAAATTGAGTTTAAATTAAGGAAAGATATGATATACTGTACAAGAGGTTTGTTTAGAGGCAATGAAGGTTTAGCCTTTAACTCAGTCATTTAAAGTCTGTAAGGAAAGGGAAGAAAAGCTTATCACAATAATTATTATGATTACCTTTATTGTCAGAGTACAACATGTGTACAATCAGATTGGCTGAGCCTCCCTTTGTGCAACTTCCCCCCCAACACAACTCACAGTGAAGACAGAAGTCCCTAACCCAGTCCCAATCTTATTATACTATGTGACCTTGTTGCACAACGCGCCGGCCCTGCAAATCTATTGTACTATAATCCAAGCATAGCAATGGCCGCTTAGACTTTCTGATTCCAAAATACATATACTAGTAATGAGTCTGCTTCACCCGTTCATCTGTTTTCAATTGTCTGTTTTAGAAAATAACTATACAGTATCAGTGCTGTTTCGGTCCCCTCTTTTTGCACCACTGCAGAAATATCTGAAAGTTTTTTTTTTTTCTTCATACGCCTTTCAGATTTTTTTCTGCTTGATTTTCCCATGTTTGTAATTTTCTAGCTTGAATTCTCTTCTTTCATCCCAAGTAATAGTAAGTTCACTTCTCACCTTAGATATATTGCTTTTTCTTCAACCACAGTTAAGCTGGGAAAGACTATGAATAGTTACCTCTAAAAATCCCACACTAAGAAGGAACAGCATCCTCTAGTGGCCAGAAAATGGAGACTGTTAAGAGAACTGACTTGTCAACCAAGTCAGAGCAATTCTAAAAAGGCAGAAAGCAGACAAAGATGCCCAAACCAAAAGTCTAACTTCACATAAAAGCATGAAAAGTATACTAATATAATAATTTTCAGCCAGCTTTTTAAATTCTTCACTTATTCTGCTTTTAAGTCATTCTTGTCATTATTTCCTTGCAGATACAAAAAACACTGAGGCCTACTTAAAACTGCCGGATTACCGGCTGCTTGGATAATGTGTGAACACCATTCCTGTGCCCAAGTATCTCATCCTGTTCACTGCATTTCCTCTGAGCTTCGGATCTATGCCTATTTACTCTGTATGATAACTACAGATGGGCATCCATATTAGTGGGATGTTTTCCTATTGCTTTGCTGTTTTTATTTCTCCATCTGCTCACTCATACTCTTTCCTCCTCCTAACCTCTTCTCAAACATCAGCATCCATCTAACAAAAGATATAAGCATATGCTCTGCAGAGCTGAGTACAAGCTGGAAATATTAACTTTCTATTGCAGGCAAGCCGTTTCTTAATTTCAGATGCAACCTCCTTCATCAGTGATGTTAGGTAAAAATCTAATTTCATTTCTTCATATCTCAGACAGCTTCTACAATAGTTTGCTTTCTTTCTCCTGTCAATTTTATATTACCAATGTCTTTCCAGCATGAAAACTTTGTGCCTTTTATTATAACGTCATCTTGTGGTGTTGTCAGAGTCTTAAATGCAGTGTATCCTAACTTCTGTGCATATATCATCTAGCTGAAACTTGGTCTCTGAAAACAACAGTGCAATGCAAATACAACACAAACATCTAATATTTTAATTACAAACATCTAATTTTTTTTGCCATGTGTAAAGAACAATAATTAACAGAAAGTAAGAGAAAATCTCAATAACATTTGCTAGATTTTTTTAAAAAAGAAAAATCAATCACTTTTGCGATGTTTTGTGACAGAGAATGACTATAAAATTTCAGCAAAACAACAAAACACATATGAAAAAGCAATTCCCATTGGGCTCAGCAGTGGTCTAGATTTGATTTTGAAAACATGATTTCTTTTTTTTGAACTAGCACCTTTGATTAATATTTGTATGTTGCTATGAATGCGGGATACTTAGAGCAGCCACATCTTTCCCAGACACTATACAGTTGCTTTAAAGTCTGCAAACTGATATTATGGGTCTATTCTCATGAGCTCCAAAGTACTTTTATGAGACTGCCTCTTTGAAATCTTGCACTAATAAGTCCTAATAACCAGGACAAACTATACAGAATTCCAATTCTGTGAATGAACTCAGCCTCTTGACACAAAACATGTGGATTTCCTATCCAGTTTGCTTCCATGGATTCACTGACAAAGAAAGAATACAAAATAAAACATTTCACCATTCTAGACACAGAGGCAAAATTCTGTGCTAATACCCTAAAAAACCAAAGTTGTTTGTGGCATTTAATTCAAACAGTTCATGTACTGTTTAGTTGATTGATAATCTAGACATAACTATTATTCAGGTGTTTTAGGATGAGAGCTTTTAAAAACAAACAAAGCAAATCCATATATTTATGCTAAATATTTTTTCTAAGGTGTACACAGTGACTAACCTATCTTTATTGATGTCATTGAAACTGAACATTGATTTTTTTTCAACTGATTAATCTTTTTTCTATCTACCTCCACTTTTCCACCATCCTTAAACAGCTGGGTTTTCATTAATCAAAAATCATATTTCTCCATCTACCAAAATAAGGGTCAGGTCTCCCATTGAGGGGATTATAAGAGTATCTCCAACAAGATGTGTGGGGGCAGCATCATTCTGAATGAGCTAAAACAATAAATGAGTTTTTGAACTGCTGGCTGGAAAGGTAGTGACCGTGGTAATCATTATTTCCCTTGTTTGCACAGGACCTTCCAACAAAACAAATAATGTTTTTGTGATTGGATTGACATGATGTTAACAATGCATTTAATGCCAAAATCAGTATGAATACAGGTAAAGCTTCCATTAATACCGGTACCAGGATGTTAAAGCCACCTATTTTCTAAGCAACTTTAAACAGCCTCAATTTAAAAAAAAGCTAGCCCTCCTTTAGTAAATATATCAAATGGGGCCCATGCCATATAGCAACCAGGTGAAATGCAAGAACCATATTGCCATCTGTTCAATGCTTGCCTACAGTACCTGCAGCCTTTTCTGCAATCTTGGCTTCTGCTACACTCTCTTGTAGCTCTAAGTCCAGCTTCAATGTCTTCAATTCCTTGTCTTTTTCAGACAGCTGATCCTGAAGCTGGATTGAACAAATATATTGTAAAATGTAAATACAAATGTAAAATGTAAAAGTACGTGGGCACATCTTAATTTACAATATACACATGTACAAATATACCAGCAGCTATATGAGAAAAGAAATTAAAGCTTCTTTCTTATGGGAAACAAGAAAAAAAGTCTGTTTTCCAAGAAAATCAATAATTACATTTTTTTGGCTCAACATTGCTCATTTTGAAAGAGTGTTTTGTGGTAGTACTATATATTGTGACCCAGATACATATGATGTCATGCTTCCTAGACATGTCTGCTGAAAAACTAGTTCTTCCAAGTTGAATGGGATGATGTCTAAGACTGCAGCCATAAACAACCAAGTAGGATTTATGAAATTGGGGTAAGGCTCATTTCACAACTGAATGAATTTTCTATTGTGGAGTAGTACGTTCAGAAAAAGCATTTCTGGGGCTGCAGAGATGGAAGCTGACAAGAACCACATAGATAACTGGGCTTTTTCACCCATCCCTTCCCAAATACAATGTTGGTGTCATAATATAAGTTGCTTCAAAAATTCAGACTTCTGAGAAGCACAGCCAAAGGTCTATGTCTCGTGTCCTTTTTGCACAATAATATTGCTGAATTACTACTATTTAAATTAATAAGCTTAATTTAGCATGGATTTCAATGGATTTCTACTCCACCAGAGGTGCTGGGACTGCAACTCTCAGCATTTATGCTCAGTATCCCTAAGGACTGTGTTGGTTTTGAATCCTGAGGTTTATAGTCCCATGGTCACTGAAGACTATTAGATAGAGAAGTCTGGTCTAAAATAAGAAAGAACTATAAACAAAACCAATTAAATGATTTCATAATAAATAATTAATTTGTGTAATATTTGTGTAATAACATAATTCAATCTGATTTTTCAACATTAAAGCCACAATGATGATTGTCACCCAATTTTTCCAATATTTTTGCTCTGCTATTCAGGAAACATTCAAGATTTCTCCAATTTGAGGAGATTCAATTGTATTTTACAACGAGATTTTGATAAGTAGGTTCTGCTAATGTATTTGAAAAATAATATGTTTCAAATCTTAATGTTATGAAGAAAATAGATTGCTATTAGTATATCAATTTTCATTTACAGCAGTGGTTCTTAACCTTTTCTTCACCATGGACCCTCTTTAAATACTTTTTGTTGCCAAAGAGCATGGCCACAGACCCCCAAGACTTAATTCAAGATTTAAATCATAACATTTCTTCAAGCCTTCATGGACTCCCTGTGACAACATCACGCCCCTCCCCCCAGGGTACATGAGACACAGGTTAAGAACCACAGATTTGGAGGATGGTTTAAGTCATGAATTCAGTTCTAAGAGTTTGTACAGACTGACTGCAATGCAGTTGAAATGTAAAATTCAGCAATGTACAATGGATCTCCTACCCATCAATGTAGATTAAACAGATAAATATGTGTGTAATTATCTGTCTTGATCTACAATTAAAATTATTCTGAATGTTTAATTATATCACAGCACATCCTGAACAATTTATTTATTCTCAAATTTCTTTAAGTCGGAAACACTTGGCAAAAAGATCAAGTTCACAGTCATAAGCCCTGCACTAGAGCTGATTCCCTTACAGAAAATTAACATATCAAGGAAACAAAAGTAATATCCTAAAATCAACAAATCATGAATTGTATCATTAATAATCATTTTTCAACAACAAATCCTGAACCTTGTCAATTAGAATAAAGAATATGAATATCTGTGACTAGATGAATAGGTTGTACCTTCTTATTGTTTGCCCTTAGAACATCCAATTCATTTAAAAGGAATGCAATATTCTTTTCTTTATCTAGGTTAGCAGTCACAGAGTTGACTTTTCCTTCTTGTTTTTCAGTCGTAATACTGTGCAAAAAAATGAAAGGGAAAATGATAAATTCAAAAGTATCCTCCAATCACTCACAAATGAGTGATTCAGGGTAGGGTCATCACTGAGTACAAAACACATGGTTTATAATCTAGTCTAGAGTGAGTCCAGGTTCATTTTCTGACATCTGTCATGACATGACAGACATCTGTCCTGGACTTTGAAACAATATATGTCAGATATTGCCACAACTTCACATGGCTTTCACTGCATTTTAAGAGATGTGTTACCTTTAAAACATGTAAATGTTTTAAAATCCAGATTGACCTACTTTAACTTTACTTCTTAGAAATCTCAGTAACAAAGTTCATTAAAAAAAAACCCACATCACTTGCTACTGCTATTGAGGACATAACAAAAATAAAAAAGGGATGAAACTGAAAGGCCTAAAGTTAGAATATGCAATATATGGAATGAAAATAAAAACCAGAGAACTGTTCACACTAAAGGCCATGCTATGGAACCAGGAAGTAGACAAATGGACATTGTGGATTTTCCCAAGCCATTCACAAACAACATATATATATATATATATATATATATATATGACAACTTACAATGCGGTTGCTAACTGATGTAACAACTTACAAGGAACAGAGCGTGCTTGCTTCTAAATGAAAGGACTGGAATACCACCTAATGTTATTTGAGTGGACTTTTCTTGGAACAGTATTTCATTTTTCTCTTCTTCCTCTGAGCTCCCTCTAAATGTACTAAAGATGGGTTAGATATAACCCTTGATTCTGATTCAAGATAGTAACATCAGTGGCATGCCTATTTTTTTAAAAAATGTTACTACATTGTGCTGCCATAATGGCATAGCTTCGATTTCAGTGTTCAACTGTAGGTAGTGACTGTAGCCCTTAAAATCCAGGTAGAAATTTTTTAAGGTGCTATCTAAGTCCCTGTTTTTCTTTTCTTGATTGTTGGCAGCTTAGACCATATTCAGTAACAGGGCCACCCAAGCCTGCAATTCACTTAAAGGAAAGCTAGAAATCGATAAAGTAAGTTGCCTCAGTTGGCAAAGCACCTAAGCATGGCTGATAGAGGTACCCAGTAACAGGATCAAAGACTAAATTGGAAAATAAAACACATTTCCTTAATGGTATCAAGAAAAATCCATGGATGCTGTCAAGCTCAATTCAATGATGTCTTTATGTTTACCTTTTGGTAAAAAGCTTTTGCTGAAACAGATCAACTGTGCCAATTTATCCACTGGTTAATGTGCCTAATCCAAACTCATCTTGCCAGCCATTTTGTGCGAAGACAAGGGAACACTAGGCTGCCATTTCAAAGATGCTCTTCAACCTCCCCAAAAGATTGACTCTTTATTAACATAAAAGATTGACTCTTTATTAACATAAAATATGAACATGATTGAAAAAGTATAAGTATCAGGGTATATATTTTCAAGCTATAATCAATTGAGAAAAAGCTAATCACTGTTTCAAGTTTACTGGCATCCTACTTTTATTACATCAATTTGATTCTACCTATTTGATTAACAATATGTTAATGCTTTATACACCTAATTAATATTACAAAACAATACATACTATGCAAAGTTTCACATTGAAAAAAGGGAAGGCTGGGTGTTAAATTTTGAGGAATTATGAAGCATTTTGGATGCTACTTCTCAAAAAGAAACTGGTATGTCCACAACTGTGAAACTGTTCTTTCTCTACCTCCTTAAGCATTTTTTTTAATATTGAGAGAAAAGATAAAAAAGTAATGTAAAAACATAGAAGATATTGTGTTCAATCTAGAATGAAAGCTTACCTTATCCTTTCATCATTGTCAGGCACAGTAATATTCTTTAAATGCAAAGTCTTAGCATATTCTGTTTGTATAACATTTAAGTTGGTTATGGGTTGATCTGAAGAGTTGACTAGTTCTTTGTTTGTCCAAATGGCTGAGTGTCTTCTAGGCTGCAACCTTGCTGAAGAACTTGTAAAATTCAGGCAACTAGAAAAAGAGGCATCCTTCTTTTGTTCAGAATTCTGTTCCATATTAAAGGTTCCTATTTGGAAGATAGCAACACATTATTTTTAATTAAAAATAATATAAAAACAATTAAGTACAAAATACAATCTGTACAATGCCTCTGAAAAATAAAAAGTATAACCAAGGACATTTTAATGCTGCTTTAATAAAATATCCAGTAATTCTGACTCAGAAGAAAAATCCTGCATCTATGCAACCAAACTGCAGAGACAAGGAGCTTTAGAAGAGTCTTCCCCAAACAATTTCCATAATCCACTAATAAGTTTGGCCATCCTGGTGGTGATTGTGTGAAATGTAGTTTGAACAGGATCTGGTTGTGAATGGCCATTTTAGCAGCCATGGGCCATAGCTAATTGAGGTTCAGCTTATGATCAACTTGCACTCTTTTATTCTTTTCACACATCTTATTACCAAATCAGGTATCCACACATACTCAGACTTTTTACCTGCCTGGTTTTATTTCCATTCCCTAAGTGAAGAACTTTGCATGTATCTCTTAAATTTTATTCAGTTATTTTCATCCCATGTCTCTGACCTATAAGGTGGTTCTTTGGCAGTACTGCTCCCCTCTTCTAAGTTATTAGATACCTAGCCCCTTTTTATTATGTGCAGATTTAAATGTGGGAAATATTTAAATTCCCTTGTTTTTCTCCCAGGGTTTAGAATAACTGAACAATTCTGGCCTATCTTTTACACGAAGGCCATTCTGATGTACGAAAATAATGAAAATTTCTTGCAATCTTTTCTTCTGGTTAAATATACCAATACATCCAACCATTTCTCATGTACTGTTCTTCTGGGTCTCTTTTCATTTTGATTGCTCTCCATTGAACATGCCGCAGTTTATCAACGCCTTTCCTAAAACATGGAACTAGACACAATAGTCTTATCCTGACTTATGCAGAATAGAAAATAATGTACTTTTCTTAACCTTGGTTCTTTATTTTTCTAATTAAAAAAACTAGGATGCTTTTGGCAGATGCCTTACCCTATTGGCTCTTGTTCACCATATGCTCTGCCAAAATATTCAGATTCCAATCGTGTGGTCTATTGTTCAGTGTGTTCCCCTTTAGCCTATATTCATGCCTTTGATTTTTCCTACTGAAATGTAAATCTGCACATGTGCGTCTCTGTAGAAATTCATCTTGCTGAGATTTGCCTCATACCCCATCTTTTCAAGAAATTTTTGAATCTTGACAGGGTCCTCAAAGTACTGGCAATTAATTTGTGACCCTATTTGGCACAGTGCCAGGATACATCAAGCAATACCTTGCCGGAAAAAAAAGGAAGAATCTGCTGAGGATCTGCTTTGCTTTTGCCACCTGTTATGCCTGGTGGTTTAATTACTTTAATTCCATTGCATTGTATTTGCAGCCTAAAATATATATGGAAAATAAATACCAATAAATAATTTGATATCCTTTATATCTTTAACACACCTGCACATTTGACACTTATATTTTTAACCTAGTTATATATGTTATGACAACTGTGTTCCAATATCTATGGGGCTGCCATAAAGGAGAGGGGTCAACCTATTTTTCAAAGCACCTGAAGGCAGAACAAGAAGCAACAGTTGGAAACTAATAAAGGAAAGAAGCAACCTAGAATTAAGGACAAATTTCCTGACAGATTCCAATTAATCAGTGGAACTGCTGGCCTCCGGAAGTTGTGGGTGTTTCAACACTGCAATAGATTGGACAACCATTTGTCTGAAATGGTATAGAGTTTCCTGCTTGAGCCAGGAATTGGTCTAGAGGACCCCCCCACAAGGCCCCTTCCAACTCTGTTATTCTGTTATTATTATAACTCTCCACTCCAATTACTAACAAATATGGGTGAAAAGGGCAGACCTAAAACATGCATCTGCAGTACTTGGATGTGGAACCAATCAAATTGGACAATTGTTCAAGCAATTCTGCAACCATACAGCCCAGACCAATTTCAATATTCTCTCTACTTGTCAGAATGTTTTCTTGAAATCAGGGTATATTATTATGCATTGCAGCATCATAAGCATCCTATATTCTGTTAGAAAAGGAAAGTGGGTTAGTTTAGCAAGATTTGCTCTTGGTCAATCTATGGCTGTTTCTGCCAAGAGATGCATTAGTTTCTAAATGCTTAATAACTATTTCCAAATTTTGCTTTATATTGACATTAAGTAATAAGTCTGCAAGTACGGAGCACACCTGCAAGCTCTTTCAAGACAATTGTATGTAACTGATGTGCTCTTGGAATCTTAAATTTCTCAAACATTTCTTATTTTAGGCTGGGTTGCCACAGCTTCCTTTTGTTAATTGTTCTGCTTTAGATCCTTCCGAGCTCAGTTTAGACTACTGGTATAGCCAGTAATATAGATAAAAAAAACAAAAATAAAAAATGTGATTTTACATTTTCCCTTATCTGCTTTAGCTTTTCTAACTTTCTTTCTGCAGACACTACCCTACTTTCTAAAATACCTCTTTCGTGATTACACCCATTTTCCCTCATTAATTTTTATTGAAGAATTTCTTGGCAAAAACAATACACCTTTTTAAAATAGATATCAGTGATAATGATATTTGCATGATAAGTAAATATGAAAGAAAAAAGAAAAAGATAAAATCCCTCTATCTTAGTGGTGGCTAACCTTTTTGGGCTCCTGTGCCAAAAATTGTGTGCGTGCTGGTACGCACGCGTTCACGTGCCAGCAACCAGAAGGCAATGCGCACCCCCCCGTGCCCCCTGCACATGAGTGTACAATCCCCTGCCTCCCCCCCCGCCGCTGCCTCTCTCCTGCCCCCTTACCTGAACTGCGCCTCACAGCTGATTTTTGGCCAGTTTGATGCCTTTTTTGGCCTCCCAGAGGTTTGGAAAAAGCCTCTGCAGGCTTTGCAGGCTGAATAGTAGGACCATTTCATCACTTTTGGTATTACCGGAAGAGATTGGACAACCATTTGTCTGACAAACATTTTTCAAACCTCTGGGAGGCCAAAAAAGGCCTCAAACCAGCTGAAAATCAGCTGTGAGGCACGCATGCACATGCGCAGTAAGGTAAATTTGCCTGCAGCTCGTGTGCTGGCACAAATGGCTCTGCATGCCACCTGTGGCACACGTGCCATAGGTTCGCCATCATGGCTCTATCTGGTCCATTTAATTTTTTTATCAATCAAATACTCATATTTCTGCACAATGATTTCCTAAGCTGCTTTCCATTTTTGCCTTATTGAAATGATGTGTAATAATACTATAGTCCCAATATCTTATTCCTTAGAAATTTTCAATTTTGGATATTTTCTGACCTTGGAATGTTATCTACAGCAGGGGTTTCCAATTCCCAGTCTGTGGACCGACAATGGGCCATAGCATGCTAGAAACTGGGCCACGCAAACAACCAAAGCCCCATCCACAGGATCAGGCAACATGTGGAGCCACCTCCAGTCTGCAAAAAAACTTTTTTCACAGAACCAGTCCCTGGTCCCCAAAAGGTTGAGGGCTACTGAACTAATCTATATGATAGTACTTCAAAAACTAACTTTACAGGCAATTGACAATCTTTGCAGCATTCTTGAGTCATTGAAAATTACTGTCAATATAGTACATTTCCTGTGTCTGACTTCTGTTCTTTTTCCCCCCTGCACTTGCTTTATAGATAAAGGGATTGCAAGAGAGTATGTTGCTTGCTCTTCTACACATTGAGATCAATGTGATTGAGAGTGCTGAAAGGCTTAGGCAAAGGAAAAAATTGCCGACAGAAATTGCTTGCCTTTTTTCTCTCCATTTCCCAGCATGGGGAGACTGGAGAAAAAGGGATTTCAAGAGAATAAGCGATTTGTGTGGTATGCCTGTGGTTACCAGTCCTGAATTATGGGGCAACTGCTTTGCTTTTAATGTGTACAAGACAGTAAGCAGGTATCTGAGCACTCCAAAGGGTGGAGGAGTGTTTACAAGGCAAACAAAAACCAAAGGTGTGAATTTGAGTAGAGTGGTCTTGTGTCTTTCCAGCTGGAAACCACAGATATAGTTTATGATTTCCTACTTAGCAACTGCTTTGCTTAGCAGTGGAGTTGCCAATCCAAATTGGGGTCATTAAGCAAGGACTCCCTATATATTCCAATTTCCCTTTCTACAGTATCGTGAACCCTAATATGATGTCTTTAACTAGATTCTCCCAATTAACATACTCTGAAGGAGGACCAATCTCTTTGTGTCTCATCTTCAGCCTTCAGGAATATGAAACAGTAAGCAAGCTTCATGAATAATTTTTGATCTTGTGGCTTTGGCTGAGTTGATTTTCCAAGAATTATCTATACAGTTAAAGCATGTCCAATCAGTAGCCTGAGGGCCCATGTGCACTTGTAATATGGTAGTTTGTTATTTATATATATCAACTATATATTTTATATATGGCCCAAGACAATTCCTCCTCACTCAATGCAGATGAGGCAAGCCAAAAGGTTGGACAAGCCTGTGTTAAAGTCTCTAATGATATGCTATATATTTCTCTTTTCTGAAAGTCCTGTAATCTGGCTAGGAAACCATTATCAACCTTTTTTTTCCAGATCTTATGAAACGAAACCCATGCTGTGACATAATCCATCAACCATACAACTAAGACCACGGCTACAGAAACCAAATCTCTCCTGCTGATCCTGTTTGTGTAGCCAGTTATTCATTTGCAATAATCTTCTTTCACTTTCCAGTCTTCTTTACCAATGGGAAGGATGGATGGGAGCAAAGCTGAGTCTCATATTTTTCAGTTTCAGTCTTCTTCCCAGAGTTTTAAAGTCCACAGATAGAGTTGCTGAAACTGCTCTTTGTCCTATCATTTGGCCCCATGTGGATTAACAAGAAAAGATAATTGTCACTGGACTTGATAAGTCTTGGAAGTTGTTCTTCTACATTCTTAATCCCTGATCTTGTCAGACAGCACACTTCAGAAGCCAATGTGTCCATTCACACATACTTATTTCAATGTCTTACAATAGTGAGTCACCTTCTACCACGAGTCTTCTCTCTCTCTCCTTCCTTCCTTTC